ATTATGAGGAATCAAATACAAAATGGGAGCTGACACAGTTATTTTTTGCTAATGATATTGTGCTTATGGGAGATTCTAAAGAAAAGTTGCAAAGGTTAGTGGACGAGTTTGGTAGGGTGTGTAAAGGTAGAAAGTTGAAAGTAAACATAGATAAGAGTAAGGTGATGAGGGTATTAAATGATTTAGATAACGAAAAATTGGATACCATATTGGAGAGAGGGAGTATGGAAGAAGTGAATGCTTTCAGATATTTGGGAGTTGAGTTGTCAGCGGATGGGTTTATGAAGGATGAGGTTAACCAGAGAATTGAAGGAAAAAAAGGCGAGTGGTGCGTTGAGGTATCTGTGGAGACGAAAAAAATGTTATCCATGGAGGCAAAGAATGGAATGTACGAAAGCACAGTGGTACCAACACTCTTTTATGGGTGTGAAGCTTGGGTTGCAAATGCTGCAGCGAGAAGGCAGCTGGAGGCAGTGGAGATGTCCTGTCTGAGGGCAATGTGTGGTGTAAATATTATGCAGAGAATTCAGAATGTGGAAATTAGGAGAAGGTGTGGAGTTACTAAAAGTATTAGTCAGAGGACTGAAGAGGGGTTGTTGAGGTGGTTTTTTTTTCATTTAGAGAGAATGGATCAAAGTAGAATGACTTGGAGAGCATATAAACCTGTAGGGGAAGGAAGGTGGGGTAGGGGTCGTCCTCGAAAAGGTTGGAGGGAGGGGGTAAACGAGGTTTTGTGGGTGAGGGGCTTGGACTTCCATCAAGCATGTGCGAGTGTGTTAGATAGGAGTGAATGGAGATGAATGATTTTCGGGACCTGACGAGCTGTTGGAGTGTGAGCAGGTTAATATTTAGTGAAGGGATTCAGGGAAATCAGGTATTTTTATATAGCCGGACTTGAGTACTGGAAATGGGAAAGTACAATGCCTGCACTTTAGAGGAGGGGTTCGGGATATTGGCAGTGTGGAGGGGTATGTTATAAAGTGGAACCTCCACTCATGAGTTTAATCCGTTCCATGACCTTGCTAGCATCTGGATTTGCTCATTTGCAGAGTCAGTTTTCCTCATTTAAATTAATTGAAATGCAATTAATCTATTCCAGTGGAATTATGTACTTCAATAATTTCCCTAATATCAACTCTATGGCTTGTTTATCTATCACAATTCATCTAATATGACATAATAAACAATATAAATAACATAAAACCTGATATATACTCTAGAATGAAAATAATATGTCATTATGTAACAGGAGGCGGCGGCCACAACCGCTCCCGCTTTGTTGTGGTAAACACTGCCATCTAGTGACGGCTTTTTGAAGCCATCTATTATTATACTTATTATATAGTAAATTATTATACATGTACTATTAGTATACGTATATTAATATTATTATATTAATATACTATTAATATTATACTATTATTATTATACATATTATTATTACAATATAAATAATTTGTAATTTTCATTCACACAAAAATAGAAGATTTACTGCCATACAGACTACTGCATTATTGTAATAATTGTATAAATAATGTCAACCCATTCACGACTCCATAGTGGAATGGACAGTGACGTCATTTGTTTACTCTTAACATGGCCAAAGAATCAAACATTTCTAATCTGAGCTCAATTTCAAGGTACTTTTCGTCGTGAAACCAATCAAAATCATATCTATTTCTGTAATATATCTTCCATTCTATCAAATGAGACCAAAAAAAAAAAAAAAGAGAATACAACCATACAAACCATACGAAAATACCGCTAAGGGGAAGCTAATTGCTGAGAAGTGAATTCCATTATTTACGGCCCAATTTCTTTCAATTTTGGTGTACGTTAAGAAGCATCTATCCATCATACATTGCCTAAGTTTCAATAAGATAGTCCAACAAACAAATGAGATCCAATTCCCTAGATCAAGAGCAAGAGCCCCTCACCAGCGTCAGGGAACCTCCCTTGAGGCCTGCTCGCTTATGGAAATTTTGCTCGCCTATGGAAGCAAAAAATACACCGATCGACTGCTTGTATTTGGAAAAATTCGCACGTGGACGCACTCGCAAGTAGAGGTTCCACTGTACATTTTTATATGTGCTTCAAAACTGTTGTATATGGGTGCCTATGCAAAGACAGTGATTATGTGCAAGTGAGGTGAAAGTGTTGAATGATGAAAGTATTTTATTTTGGGGGATTTTCTCTTTTTGAGTCACCCTGCCTCGGTGGGAGACAGCCGACTTAATAAAAATAATAGTAATAAATATATATATATATATATATATATATATATATATATATATATATATATATATATATATATATATATATATATATATATATATATATATATGCAATAAGATCACAGTAAACAGGTGATTTCAGAACAAAACAACCACTGGGAAAGAATAGAGAAGTTCCAAGCGCATTCGTGACTACTCACATTATCAAGGAACAATGAAAGTAAAGCATCAAAGGAAGGTATATAAAGGGGTAGCCCACACCTCAC